TAAGAACCCGCTCTTATTATCGCTGTTCACTATTACCGACGGTTCTTCAAAAGTAATGGTCGTCCAAATGTCAAGTACTTTAATTGACAGACTGCAAGAAGCAAACTCAAATTAAGAATCTTACAGCTTTTTAAGTTCACTCAGCATTCTGAAAACAAAAAAGGTCAGAAGTTATGAATGTCGATATAACAGTGACGATATATAATCCAATTGCAAAGAAAAATTTACGGTCCCATTCTCTGAGATTTATCTTTTCTACCCCTCCCTTTTAACAGTGCTAGTTCATTAACAGGAGAATGATGCAATTACTTTTCTACCGCTCAACTAACCAAGGCTGACCCATTCTTAATGCATTTGAGCAAAGTTTAGAAACTGCTCAAATCAAACCCCGAATATTTTATTTCATAAAAACCTTCCTCAATTTGTTTTCTTCATGATCCTTCCTGATGCCTGAAATCTGAGATGAGGAAGGTTTTTTTTCATGAAAACTTGATTTGGGGGTTGCATGTAAGATGACGAGGACAATAATAAGCATCTTTGCAAATTAATAATTGCTAATTGATGAAGGTAGAGACAGTAAGACGAGGACAACCGCCGGAGCGGAATAGTAACCGATAGAATGAAGAAGGAAAAGAACACAAGTTTGAGGCTTTTGATTTTCTGATTTCTGTGTAACATTTAAAAAAAGAGTAACTTTGCTAAATTTATGATAGATGAAGGGCATTTTGAGGTAAGGAAAGTTTTTCCGGTGCTCCCTCTCTTTTAAAGGGTGAATGATTTAGAGTTATCACTAGAATTTTATTTGATTTAGAACTCAAGTTAAAATCTAAAATCCTTCTCGACTAATTCTTCTTGTTCTTACTTGTTCAGTTGTTCTTATTTGAAAATTCAATTTCAATACCTCTTAAAAAAAGGAAAGGAATTAAAGAATGAAAATATTTTAAATAATATCCATACTTCATAACATTATTATTATTATCAGAATGATCTACGTAATGCAATAACTATTTGCCTTACGCTGTTGGAGATAGCTCATAAGAAATGTTTTCAGATGATGAGCAACTGGAAGTCCAAATTCTTATTCCTTTGTTTGTTTGTTTGTTTGTTTGTTTTTTCTTTTCTCCCCCGGGCACCGTGCTATAATACTACCGTCTTTTCTTGTACAGACACAGCTCAAAACAATAGTCTGCAATCGAGAGGCGAGAGAAACTTCCAGCATAACAAACCTCCTACCTTCAAAAGAAAACTATGATAAACAAATGAATAATCAGTAATCCGTTGATTTTTAAAATGGGAAAAGTTATTAATATTATTAGACCCTAGAGGGGGGTGATTAGGGTCTTATGCTAATCTAATCTGATTTTATGCCAATCAAAACTGATTAATAAATTATTCTTGCAAGATGGATATACAATATGTTATGAGCAAGAATATGCGATATGAACAAAGAGATATATCATATATGGTGAAATGTATGCAAGAATATATAAATAACACAAGGGTAAACAATCTAAACTAAAGATACAATTGTGATAGGACAATATAAACAATGCAAACACACATCTAAACTAAAGATACAATTGTGATAGGACAATATAAACAATGCAAACACACAATATGATCACGGAGTTCGGACCTTCAAACAATGCAAACACACAATATGATCACGGAGTTCGGACCTTCCGTCCTACGTCTCCGCTCCCCACTCTAGGGAAAAAATCCACTATCACAACCGGGTTTTCTACGCTCACCCGAATAACGTTTACACCCCACACTCGGTTTTCTAGCTAACCGAAAACTCTACAATCTCACACTATCACAACCGGGTTTTCTACGCTCACCCGAATAACGTTTACACCTCACAATATCGGTTTTCAACGCTCACCGATCAACGTTCACAATGTAACTACACTCCACACCCTCTAAGTGTTGGTCTTTAGCTCGTGTCCTTCCTCAATTGCTCGGAATTATCACCTCTCTAGGCTTTACTACCGACCACACTCCTCTTGGAACCAACCCCGTCTCTCACCAACCACTTCTCTCGGTGTTCAAGTGTAATACAATGTGCAACTCCCAATGAAACTCACAAATACAAATTTGTTCTCTACAAAAGATGAGAACACAATTAAGCTCACTCTCAAAGTCACAAACCCACAACCCAAATTATACTATAAATGTAAATACAATAAGCTCAATGATTGTGTGTGAACAAAGAGATATAAATCAAAACTAAACTCAATATACTTCTAGCTTAATAATAATGATAATCAAATATATAAAAGAGCTAGAAATAGAGTTTAGAAAACTTCTCAATATAATCAAATATATAAAAGAGCTAGAAATAGAGTTTAGAAAACTTCTCAATAGATCAAGAGTGGAGGGATGTAGATTGAAGAATAAAAGAGCTAGAAATAGAGTTTAGAAAACTTCTCAATAGATCAAGAGTGGAGGGATGTAGATTGAAGCTCAAATAAGATTGATGATCTCCTCAAACCCTTGTGAAATTCTCTTCACAAACAAACTCTTAAACACTCTTTTAAACAAACTCAAAACAAGCTTAAAACCCTTGTTAAACTCTTTTAAAACATTCTCTTCAGTTATTTTGGAACTGAGGATATGTAAGGGTATTTATAGGAACCCCAAAGCCAAGAGAAAACAAGACAAAAAGACCAAAAACCCAAAAACAGTACAGTCTAAAAATATAGCCGTTACAGTGTTATGAGTTGACTCGGTATTGTTCATGAGTCGACTCATAAGTAGCCGTTACAGGCTAAAAGCTAACTTATGGGTCGACTCATAAAAATCATCAGTCCACTCATCATGCATGGGTCGACTCATGAAGTCATGAGTCGACTCAGCAGAAACAAAACATATTTTCCAGTACAGTTTGTGAGTCGACTTATGACAGACATGAGTCGACTCAACCTGATGGGTCGACTCATGATGTTATGAGTCGACTCGTCAGAAACAAAATGTAAACTACACAACAGTTTATGAGTCGACTCAAGACATGCACATAGCATGTCTTAAACAGAAATATGATTTTCAAACATCTTTTAAAAATAGCAAATAAAATCAAAAAAATGTAAAACTCTGAGAAATGATTGTAATCATGATAATATACATGTTACAAAAACTAATTTTTAAAAAGAACCTCCCAAATAAAAAATATCATCATTTTACAAAATAGTCTAAAACATGAAAATGTAAATACATGAGTTTTGACATTTTAGCTTAACCATGTTTTGAAACATTACAAAATAATTTTGTAGACTTAATAAAAAATGTATATGATTATTGTTAAGTCCAAAAACTGATAATACAATATTTTCACAAATACAATAGAATATGAAACATATGAGTATGTATATGAATATATATTTGTTTCATATCTATGAAATTAAACCAAAACATATATATATATATATAACTATATATATACAAAACCAAAACATGTATGTGTGTATATGATTGAGCTTAAAGTACTAACATACATAATATAAACCTAAACTAAATATACCCAAGCTATGATCTTGATCTTCAATAAACTCTTCTTGGTAAACTTGCGGATGAAGCTTGAACTTGGATCTTCAACTTAAATTGCATTGCTTCACTCCATTATTCTGCCAACCTCCATTAGATATGATCGTGAAAACTTGATTCCATCCATCCTCCAACATGTTATTTGTCTACAACAAATAGATAAACACAAACACTAGACAAACAACATTAGTCGTAAATTGTTTGTTAAACATCATCAAAACAAGAAGGCCAACAAATATAGCATGAATAATTAACATTAAGATGAATTACGCAAACCAATAAACAAGTTACAAAACAAGTCATCTATTGTCTCTAACAGTGTTTAAATTTTGCATAAAGAATCTCCTAGTAGTCCCCCAATCTCTCAACACATTAGTACAAAATTTGAACAAGCAATAATCAAAATAAAAAACCCTCACAAACTGTGCTAGTGTCTATGTGAATGCCTCCTACAAGTTCTAAAATTGCCATCGCCTCTCTCTCTCTTCTTCCTGTCGATAAATATGAAAGCCAAAGAGATGATGCCAATGACTGCCATGGCATATAATGATCTGTAGGGCATGGAATAAATAGCTGAAACAAAGGAAAAATATCCGGAGAGGAGGTAAGCCAAGCTGAGACCGACTTCGTCATGACCAGGGATTAAAGGAATTGAGAATGAACTGAGGTTCTGTCTCAATCCACATAAACCGTGGAGGATGATTCCAACACAGACAGCAGAGTCTATGAACCAAGGGAAGCTTTGGCCCATCCCGATCCTCTGGAGTCATCAAAGAAAAAAAAGTTAAAATCATCGGATCAATTTTGCACGCTTGTAGAGTTTATTGCAGAAAAAACCAGAACAAAAGTCCTTCAGATGGGGTTGAAGGATATAAGACGATTAGGTAAATTTCATTTTTGCAGAAAACTGCCATAAACTAATTTCACTAGAGAAAAATACCACAAACTTTCAAATTGACGCAAAAGGAACAAATTAAGGCAAGCTGTTTCCGGTTTCTCACTAATCCAAAGCCAACTAATCTATAGTTGTTTTTAAAAAAGCATAGCAGAACAGAGAATTTGTCGATTGTAAGCATACCATGAGAATTCCTCACAGTAATACTATGGAAATGTTTTTCTGCAAATTCAGAAAATGAATTGATCTTTTCCAAATATATATTCTCCACGCACGAAGAAAGTGTTTCCGGATATTATTATTTTAAGCTTTAGATAGTTGAAATGTATGTGTTGCATTTAACTCTGTTTTCTTAGTTTTCACTTTTCCATCTGAAATTATAATTTTTTTTTTAAAACATCTTGTTTTCAGAAATCTCCAATGATTTCACAGGAGATAGAAGTCCGACTGGAATGCATTTGATTGTTAATCATGCAACCTCATGTAATTCTCTTAGTTTGTCGCTCCATATCCACCTTGATTTGATGACGAAAGACTTCAGATGATGATAATGACTAAGAACTTAATTTTGACACATAAACTCAAAAAACAATCCCAAAATAAGACTAAGCAAGCTGTGCTGGTAATTGAAAACTTCTAACTGACTATCACAAAAACTTCTTCTGGCGCTTGGACTAGTACGACTGCTCTCATCCACAGGCAGAAGCGAGTTGAGTGCGTCATTAGCTTTGCACAAAGAATAAGTTCCCCGTGGTTGTGAGTCAGGTAGCTCCTTTCTTTGAGCACGACTGCGAAATGAAGCCGCCAAAAAACTGTTACAAAGACCGGAACTTAATCTTAGATCATATCTGTAACAGATATGTTAATGAATATTCACGAAAGCATGAAGATGTATAAAACTTAATTGGCATAACTACTAAAATTGCTCTAATTTTAATTCTTATCATTCAATTTAAGTAGGAAATAATTCCGTTTTTACCCACATTTGTGCATAGAAATCCAGGTTACTTCATATGGCCATAACCCATCCCAACCCTAATGGTGTGTTTGGGAGTTTACTAAGGGAAGGGAAGGAAAGGTAAACAACGGGAAGGGAAGGGATGAGAATTGTAATATGTTGTTTGGGAGTTGAGTAAGGTGAATGAAGGTGAAAGGAAGTAAATATATGTAAAGGGAGTTGAGTAAGGTGAATGAAGGTGAAAGGAAGTAAATATATGTAAATTTACATAAATGACTTTATACTAATAACACATCAGCCATTTTATTTGTTTTGATGGGGGTAAGAATGTCATTTCACCCCTTTACCCTCCTTTACTCTCCTCTACCGCCCAAATCGGGGGGAGGGGGGAAAAAACCAAACAATTTTACCCTCCGTTCCCCTTTCTTCCTCCTCTCTACCCTCCTTAAAAAAACTCTCAAACAAGGTGAAAGCTACATTTCTCTTCCCCTCCCCCTCTCTACCCTCCATCCAAACAGGGCATAAAACAAACACAGACATCAAACAAAAAGAAGAATAGCAGAAAAAGAAAACCCTACAAAAAGAAGAACAATCGATACAAAACTTCAGAAAAAAAATAAAAAAACAATACCTAATCCATTTATTAAAACACAAGAATGCCAAATGCACACAATACAATTGTGGTTGTAATAGTATAAGATGATGAATAATGGCATATAGCATCAAATAAAAGCAACAAAGATGTTCAGAATCAGACGGTGAATTTAATTCAGTGCAATAACAATAAGGTAATTAAAACACAACAATACCCAAAGTACTTCAAACCATCTTGATATTGTGTGACCAAGAAAATGGCCAGGAAAATAATACGATAAGCAAAGGTGCAAGTAGATTAGGAAAAAAAGTATAAATTCATAAAAGAACGCAATAGAAATCAAGCTTGCATAGAAGACTAATGAAAGAAATAGTAAACTAAAAATTCTGGCAACATTTCTCCTGCAAAAATTATACCTGCAGAGAGCAGTGTGAGAATGGAAAGCATGTGAAACGAGAAGCACAATCAGGCCAAGCGCTGGATGAACAAAACAGACCAAAGGAATTGCAATAAATGCTACAACAAGTCTTGGGCTGCCCCTAAGAATCTGCACAACCTGTTACAATAACATGTCAGACAATCAAAAACAAAAACTAAGGGAAATTCTAATCAAACAACAATTCATGTCTGAGTTGATGAGTAATGCTGGTTTCCCATACTCAACAGAGCCAAGTTAAATTAAAACACATTATCAACCGTGACTAAGTGTCATAACTATCCAGCCAGCTAGAATTGTACCTTTAGCGAGTAAAAGATGGATGAGAAATCAAGGACCTGATGAAGATACATAATACAAAAGCTCTCTTCCCATGCTTGCCAGCTGCAAGACAACCATAACCACCACAATATTAGGATTCAGTTATAGAGAATTAATCTTTCTAAAGCTGCTACCTAAGAAAACCGCTTCAATTAAAAAATTTACAAAGCCAGTGTCATATTAGCTGCAGCCTGCCCTAAGCTGAAACTTGTCAATATAAAGGAGTCAGGTAAAAGGAACACAATGGCGGTTATTGCCAAGAGATTCAAAGAGATAATCAAGCAAGAAACAATGACAAGACTTTTTTCTGGATTGCGCTATATGTTTTTTCTTGACTTTCTTGCATCTTGGAGATGATCAAATATTTCAATAGGAAAACTTGTCATTTAAATCTCTGCATAGATGAATTTCTAAGCCATAGTGATTTTGGCGATCACATGGCAATCGCGTGAGCAACTGCATCAGAAGGTGGTTACTGCAACAAGCCTCTTGGTCCAGCTAAAAACTCCTCTAAATACTCTCAGAATCGCCTGTGCTAAGAAATTTAAAAGCAGCTCACCACTTATGCAGGCTTGACTTGATAGTCCTTCTACTTGATAACTTATTTTGAGTAGAGCTAAAGATTAGTTTAACCCAGCCTAAGTAAACTTGAGCAAGGTTAGAACCTGATTTCACCTCACATTTTTTCACCATTTTTATTACACTCATTTGTCTGGTAGGCATTAAAGAGATCAAGATCAGATCTCACCCTTAAACTCACACCAACACCCCCCACCCAAAAAAAAAAACTACTTCCTACTTCCAATGTACTCAAATTCTCCATTTGTTTGTATTTGAGTACATTTAGCACTATGGGCTACGCGCTAGGTGTTGTCCTAGATGTATTCGTAGGCCCTGTTTGGCAAAGGGTTAAAGAAGAAAGATTAAGAAGAATGATTAACATAGTTAGCCCATTCGATAACCTCAAGGACTAAATTATTAACCCGTCAAATAAGTTTTATGTCAGCCCTAGTGGTCATGTTTGGTGTTTGGGAATAACAAGGAATTTTATTATTTTGTTTATAAATAGAGGGGCTAACTCTTAATCCTTCTAAATAGAAGTATTAGTAAACCCCTTATTTTGAGGGGTTAACTCATTTTCATCCCTCTAGAGTGGTTAGCTTAACTGTTATGCATTTATTGCATTTGAAAAATTATGGAGGGTTAACTCACTTTAACTCTTGTATAGAATTTCCATGTTTGGCGGGTTAAGAAGGGGTTAAGTCTCCTTAACCCCTCACTTAACCCGTTGCCAAACGGCACCGTAGTGTCCCCCACTCCCCGTGTCATAGAACCTTGTCCAAATTAATAGACTAACTTTACAACACACAATGCAACAGACCCCACAGAAAGCAACAAGAAAATAAAGATTCTGAATTCATTAAATTATAAATTTCGAACGCTATAATTCCTCAAAGAGCTGAAAGATAATCAAAATCTAAGAACAAATTAGGAAGAAATCTCTGAAGAATAAAAAAAAATCCATGATCCACAGCCGTTGAGATAAAAATATAATTAATAATTAGCTGCATGAGAATTTGAACTAACCGTCTTTTCAGGAATACATGTAGGGTAGCTGCTGCGTAGAGGACCAATTGCGAGCTCAATATCAAAATTACAACGGATCCATTTGCAATTAGAAAACAGGCGATAGAGACAAAAAGAAAGCTCATAACTGGAGGAAATGTTTCAGTAGTAAGCGAAGAAAGGACCAAAGAAACAGTAGTTGGCAGTAAAACAAGTAGCATGAACGGAAGCGGTATTCTCAAATTGAGCTCTATCGCAGTTAAAACGGATGGCACAGTCAAGTCAAGCTCCCATGCACGTGCTTGCCGCATTAGAGCGAAAAATACAACAGCCATCATAAAGCCTACAACCTGCAGGTACCAAATGATGCTGGATTAATTAATCAATGACTGCAAAGAGCAAGAATTTTCTAAATAATAGTTTAGTTTGAAGTACATTGTTTGGCAAAAAACCCTTAGCTTGGTTAAATCCTTAACAAGTTTACGATTGGTCCTTGGTGGGTGATGGTCCAACCCTAGGTCCTAACCTGGTTAAGGGAAAATAAACTATAAGAAACTGGGCCAGTTCTGGGCCAGTTTTTGCCAAACACAAGTTTAGCTCCGTAACTGGGTTAGTATCCACTAACCTACTTAGAAGGAGATGCCAAACACGCCCTAAGAGAACAAAACCATATAAAGAAAATTCAGCAGCAATTGGTTATAATTAATAGTGAATCCTGTGCTACTGTGCATATCATCCGCAACTTCATATCCTCTATGACTCTTTGTGAGCAACTAAATAAAATAACATAAAATACACAGCATAGGGTATTTCAAGTTACTGGCTGAGAAATTGCATGGCTAATGGATACAGACATGACAAGGTGATGTGGGCTGAATTTGGGTTTTTCTCTGAATAGTTTTCATATTTTAGTAATTTCACTGTCATATGTTCTTTCCTGTGTTGATTTCTGAGATTTAGGGGTCCCTTTCACAATTTTTAAAGTAAAAACCAGATTAGTTCTAGTCTAATTATACACTTGCTGTTGAAAGTATAAAGTGGTTTCCATAGAACTAGTTTTAAGTTAGACTTAGTTTGGCTATTTTCAAGTAAAACTGGTTAAAACTAATATGTTTTTTTAATTAAAGTTGAGGTTAGATTCAATGTTTTGCCCCTTTTTTTTGTTCTTTCTCAGCAATATTTTTTCAGATTGACATATTCTGGTTTCTTTCAGACCATACCCCCATGGATTGGTTTTGATTTGATTATTGGCCCAAATCAGGTCAGCGAACACTAAATTAGGTCCAAATGAAGAAGTTGCCAAACTAAGAGCATGTTTGTGAACTTTGGATCGTAATCCACTTGGATTATAATCCAAATGGATAGTAACCTAAAGTGTTTGGTAAATTTAGTAGATTATTATCCATTTTTAAAGTAGTCTTTGGCATGGATTTTATAATCCATCATTGTTGTCAAAATAACTCAAAATGACACGAGGTTGGTGGTGAGTTATAAATGAGGCCTTGGATTTTGTGAAATTATAAAGGGTATAATTGTCTTTTACTTGGTCAAACCTCATAGATATAATCTACCAAAAATTAAGCTAGGGTACCCTAGCTAACTTTTTGGTGGATTATAAACCAAAATAAGCCACTTGCTTGTGGCTTATAAGCTGCTTTGACCATTTGCCAAACATACTCTAAAATTATGAACTTGGGTCAAAATTGATGCAGGTAAATCTAGTTTAGTGTGGCTGTCAAACTGACCCTAAATGTAATCCTGAGTGTGGGGGGAAGTCTAAATCATGTCGGCTGAACTTGGGTACATTTTGTTCAAACAGTTTTCAACTTCAGCACTTCCAGTGTTATACATTCTTTCCAGGATTATTTTCTAAATGTTAAATTAATATTAACAAGTAGGGCATGACTACAGCAATTTTTAACTGACATCAAGTCATCAACATGTTTACGAATCACAAAACTTCTGTTTATATAATTTAGAGGTTTCTGCAGACTCCTACACAATTCTGTAACCGTGTTTATTCTATTGCCATCTATGGAACCTTTTCCTGTTCTTGCTCTACTTATACCAGCCATATACTTGCCCTCTAAACTCTAACTATGTTTAAAACAACAGTCACAAACCTCCCCCTAATATTTATATACATTTACACATATTAGCTCATTGGTAAGACCAAGAAATTTGTTTTTATTTTTGGGGGGTGGGGGTGGGGGTGGGGGGGATGTTAAATCTAGAAGGATTGCAGGGGAGATCTGTTATGCGGCCAAAAATGTCTTGTATCTGCCACATACTAAAATACCACATCCACTTAATATCGTACATCACAGAAGGTCTTTAAACATTGTGAAGAATAACAGATTACCTGCGATGAGTATAAAATACAGAATCTGCTTGCTGCTGCAACCAGAGAAACGGCAATGCTAACTTTATATGAGCAATGTGGATCCACCTGAAATTAAAATGTAACTTTGCTTTAACTAACTTCAAAAACACATACATTAGTTCTTTGTTATAGATCTATGAAACTGGTTAAAGATATACAGTTTTTTGATATAGACCTCTGAAACTAGAAACACAAATTTAGAAAATAACATCTAAGATGTCTAAAGAAGGACTGGATTCTAACCAATAATAACACATTAGTTCTGTCAGACATGTCACCAGAATCCCACATTCCAGGTGAAGAATCAACAACCATAGTCTTAGAATACAAAGTTGGAGCAACATGTAGACCCGATATAGCATCCCAAGCAAGGGCGACTGGTGGGAAACAACGTAACTTGCAGATGCCTGTCGTGATAACAAAGAATTGTCAAGAATGGTTACAGAGTAATAGATTTATGGGACTCTTGACACATGCTGGTAAAGCAGGAAAGAGAAATAGAAAAATATGATCAACTAGAATACTAGAGGCAAGAAGATACATATATATTAGTGGCTAAATATATGCTAGTTACTTTTAGGCAAGATTGCATTAGAGAATCGTTACAATTTCCCATAAAATTGAAAGGAATAAAGAGAAGCAAGTTTGAAATGTAGAATGAAATGCACATGGGACATTGTTGTTATCTGTGGATGGATCCATTCTAATGTATTAGCTAGCATCGAAACTACTTATAATTTTGAATGACGAATTTAACAAGGAGTTGTTAAAATTTAATTAATTCAACTTTATCCACCTTTCACTTCAGGACTGTAATACGATAGAGTAGTAAACTGCTCTAGTAATTTTTATCATCTCAGACACATAGTAAAACAGACAGGAGATTGACAATTATCAGGATAGCTGACAAATTTTTGCAGACAGCAAAGTCATTTTCACCAAACAAATTTAACTTGAAACATCAGTGAATCTCATAAATATAGAAACTAAACATTGTGAGCTTACTGCTGTGGTCTGTATCTTCAGAATTTTCATCTGGAAGAGCAGATCTCTTTAACCCACAGCCTTCTGTTCTTAGAGACAAAGTGACAGGTAAAAGTCCTAAGCTTACTGAGAACGATAAATTCAGAGCGAGCGGATGATCCTCCTTGAAAAATATTTCCTGCATATAGACAGAAGTTGAACCAAGTTGGAGAAAAAAAACGCACTACATTTGCGTTTTAAGTCACGACTATCCTGCACAAACAAACTACCATCAGTTTTGATACTAACATCTTGAACATAGCTAGAGCGCAGCAGCACACTAGGGGAGAGTCCTTTTTGACCATCTTCAGGAAAAAAGAATTGCCCAACTGCCATGGAAGCAGCAGGGGGAGGCCTACCTGAAATAGTCTGAAACAAGAACATCAGCTCATGCTTCCACTGCATAAATGTACTTATGAAAGAGGGAAAATATATTATTTGCCGTGGGTTATAGAGGGTTTGGAACTTATCTCTTTATAGTATTTATATGACTTTCGTTGGGAGTACTTGTCATCATACATTTCATCCTTAAAACAACATTTGCTTTTCGGAATATCTACTAAAACACAGGTTTTAATTATATTAAAACAATTCTCAACATAAAGCTTTCTGGACATCATTTCAGTTCTCTCAGTCTTAAACCTAACATAACACCTTGCCTCTGATTACATCAATAAAGTTGTCAAAGACTGGAGATATAAAAAAGCCCTTCAATAAGAACAAGCATTAAGATGAAGTCTTTAAACGGAGAGAGGTGGAGGAGAAGAATGGACCTGAGAGCGAAGTAGGATCATTACTGCTAAAAATTAATACTGCTTTATATATACTGTAAGTAATTTAAGTATGAACTTAAGCTTTGGGATGGCACGATAACATGGTAACAAAATACTAAGTTTCAGGAGGTTATGGTTTTAAACCATGTCAATTTCAATTCAATAGGCTCATCATTTATTCCATTTTTCCAAAGGAAGCCAACTTATGCTGGATAGCTCCAGTGACTGAAAGGCCCACAAAACACCCAACGTGCTGAGATAGCTTCATAATGCATAGATTCAGAACCCGTCAACTTAAGCTTTCGAATATAGTGCTTTTCTAATATGGTATCAAAGCACCAAGGTTCAACAGATTTTGGATTCATACCTAATTACTTTCAGTTTAAAATCTTTGATCTTAATAATATCATGATATACAGAGGCATGCACAGCTCTTAGTGCATTTAACGGTTCTGCGTTGAAAGTAGTTAACAGAAACCAACAGATAAGTGGAAGAAGGAAATACCGGACTCGGCGCAACCGCAACAGTCAAGAATCTAAAACCATGCATTTCTTCAGGGCTTAGTAGCAGCATAGCGGATGGAGGTGGCTGTTCGGTTTGGCTTCCAGGTTCAATCTGGATTAAAGGCAACAATTCTGAGATAACAAGATCTGCTGTGCATGTCCACTGGTGCATGTTCCATACATAAACATGAACATGTTAGTGACATACCTGCTTTGGAGCTGGTCCAGCAGGGATTTGAACCATTCTTGATGTCACTTCAAGAATTCGCTTAGAAGGTACTTCATCTTTTACCGGAGACTTACTTTTCTCAGGCCAAAGATGAAGTCTAAGCCCAGAACACGGAGCGAGATTCGTCACCAAAACAAAATGTGCCTTGCCACTAGAACCCTGAGTGTCAAAATGAATCAGTTTTGAAGTATACCAGGGTAAAACTGCATGAGGTAGTCATAATATGTCCAGAGATTATGAAAATAATCCAAATGAATCTTACACTACCAGAAAATTTTCAAAAATAATATCCAGAAAGTTTCCAGATCATAAATAAGAAGTAAAAAAAGGTGAAAACGGGAATACTAAAAGTAACACAATCATTTCTGGCACATCTATGCATAAGGAAAATATTGGAAAAATATTGTTTCTGAGAATATTTAGCATGGAAGAGCATGGATGAAAGATCACGAAAGGATTTCTAAGTCGAACCAAGTAAAAGCTGCTCTCAGCAAGTATGGCATAACTTAAGGTGTTCGTACCTGATTTTTTATATCTAGCCATCGCCTCTTCCCATCCATTGCTAGAACAGTAACAGATGCTGACTGAATGTATAGATCTTTCTCGAGGCCATCGTTTATCCAATGAACAGATGATGGACAGGAAGAAGAACTCTGCGGCAAAGATCCTGCAAGCCAAAAATGTTAACAATAAATGCCAGAAGTATAATCAAGCTCAAATTTCTACCTTTCAACAACATGTGAATAAGTGCAATGGAAAAATCAATATCAAAGTTCCAAGAGCTTCTACATAAATGTTCATGAGAATATCATAGACCTTGAGTCATAATATCATATTCCTAAGTCGCAATCTAAGGGAATCAACATTTCCATATATCACAAAAGAAGAGAGGCGATAATGTAGAATACCAGTAACACCCT